AGAGTCCACTCCCATTCCATCTGCTTTCGCAAATTACAAGCACTTCAATGTGATACCTTCTCATCTCGTTTGCAATCTGGGCTGCCTTGCTGGGTTCAAACATGGTGCGGACATTCCATGTCCCCACGTTTACTTTCACTTTCATCGAGAGAGAGAAGACACATCGGCCTGGTCAATTGGCTTCCAGAAGGCAGGCTTTCACCAACTGGCATCATTTCGCCTCTCCGATTCCAGCGAGGAATAAGTTTTTTTTGATATTTCGTTTGTGCTTTGAAGTTTGTTTAGCGGTTAGATTTGTTGTAGGGGGTAGGGTTGTTAGCCCTATGCCCAACCTTCCCTGTTCACCCGGGCTTAGGACGGCTAGTAACTAGTGAACTAGTTAACCAGCTGTTTCGTCCTAGTATGGGACTCCTTAGCAGTACGCACCCACGACCCGGCTAGGGGTCGAACTGACGACCTTCAGGTTTCACGGTGAACGCGTTAACCACTCAGCCACTGATTGGTAACCAGTGGGTAATAGATGTAGCTGATTAGTGCTTAGTTCTCAGCGGTGAACAAAGTCTATCGGTCAAGTTCTGCAGTGAGGTGAATAAGCTGAGTGATTTGACACTAGGGTACATTGTTTCTTCATAATCAATATTGAAAGTCAGTGGATAGTAAGCCATATCGTAGGCAAGCGCATCTACAGCTATGATTAATTTGGTGTTCCCTTAATGACTTTAGCGCGTATTGATCAAGGTTGAAGTCAGAGACTTTATCAGTAAGTTAGTCAGACTGACCGACTGAAATTATTGGCATTGCTTTACATTCAACTACCCTCTTGTTGAAATAGCCTATAGTATCGATGGTTTGCAAGTGCAACACATAAATAGTACCCACATGGTTGTTATCAAGCAAATAAACAGCAGATTGGTATGTTAAGAGTGACTTTAAAGACTAGCCTAGCAACTGTTGAGAAACTGCTTTTCTAACTAACATTCCGACGTCTGATTGGTTGCTAGCGTGACCAATCTATGTTTATCACGCCTACGTAGAGTGAATAAATACATTAGGATTTTGGTGTTCAAAGTTTCAGTTCACTAGTGTTGGCATAATATAATGAATAAACAATAAAACTTAAACAAAACAAAAATTTAAATAAAAAGGATAGGTATCCCTTCCAGTTACAAGGTTAATTCGTAAAATTATCAATCTACTTGCTAACACCATGCTGTTTAGCGTTCTCAATTCTTGTTGAACTTGAATTTTCTACTGTCAAAATAAGGCTTATTAGGAATCTCTATACAATTTGGATGTTTGTGTGGATTTATTGATTTCAGGTTCATATTCATCATGGACTGACGTTAGATGGAGGAACATTAGAAAATTGGGATCACTTGATAGCTGTTTCATCTTAGTATGAGGCTGTTCAGTAGTGCATACCTTGGACATTCGGGTTCCGTGGCCAGCATGCTTTTGTTGAGTCACTGGCTCGGAATCCTGTGGTTGATATTTCTAACTTCTGTCAGTTCACTATATAGCATGACCTTCATCCGATTCCATCATTGAGTAACTGTCCTCATGTTCAAATTGGTTTACCCGACCGGTTACGACTTTTCACTGTAACTTCAAGAGGTGATTCTGCATACCTTCCTTGGTGGTAAATTTATGGCAGAACTGTAGCGTTACTTAATACTCACACCAATATGTAGAAAAGGGGATAAAGGAGATAGACCAGATCAATAAATTTGCTGTTCTTTACCAGCCAGTCAATGCAGTTCCGTCTACAGCGACGTTTGTATGATGTCGTATAAGGTGTTGGCAGTTATTACTATCATTATGATGACTATCACAAATGTCATTATTGCCACCATTCATTCCTGAAGTAGGTTTAGAAGAAGGGTATACAGAAAGAATAACTTATGTATTATACACAGGTGACCGTCTGCTAATAATTTTTCTTTCATTTCCTCGTATTTTGTAGCGTAGAAACGTTTGGTTTCAATTTTTACTCTCTGATAACCTGCATAGGTGTTCACTAGTAATCCGTGTATCTTCATTTGACTCAACCTACCTGCGCTAGTACAAGTTCCTAATGAATATTAGACATGGTTGCGTGATAAAAGTCGATAAGACAGATCAATAGACAAATTTCCAAGAGGGCAATTGTGTATGAACCTATGATTACCGATAGGATTCTCAGAAATGTCTCAGGATGAGTTTTTAACAGATTCACTTTAACATGTTGAACTGTTTGACCTCTAGTGGCACATGGGGTTCTACGCCGGGCTACTCATTATATTTTCCTGCTGGATAAAGCTTTGGCACTTTAAATAACGGGTACTGGGCTCGAGTTTCAGTGAAAAGAACATCATTTACTGAGATGGAGGTACTTCCAGCTGCATGAGTCGCGAATACTGCAAAACGTGTGTTCTAGATTTCACTGCTAACCAACACGTAAACCACAATTTCACTTTAAATCGAATCACATTCCCCTAATCAGCTTGATACGACGCTTTTATAACGACGGATTTAAAACAATTGATTCCCTTTAGAAACTTCGACAAAACAATAAGAAGACGTTATGCATTTGTGGGGTGGGGGATTACCAATTAATTGCACTACGGTGTCTTTGCAGTGTTATGGATGAAGGACCGACTTCTTTACCACAGGAGTAAAACCTTGGCATTGAGACAGAATATAGTTCCATATCAGCCTCGTTCATTTAAAATACCTCTCAGTGATATAGTATTCTTTACTGAATGACCTTTTGAGCCCAAATTATTGCTCATAACCATATTGAAGTGACCATACAACTTCCGATATCTAGTTCTGATAATTTTATCAACTCATATTTTTATAATTTTCAGTGGCAGTAGGTTTCTTCACGTTTTCGGACTAGGTGTTGTATTATTTAGTTTACATGTAGCTGTAATTGATTTGACGATGGAAATTTCAGTAATCAGTCTTCATCTTCATGTGGCAATAGTGATTTTTAGTATGCTTGCCTAATTTCAACCTATTGTACGATTTTGTTTCAGCATACGTGCTGTAATAACTGACTTTGTGTTATTAGGTTATCAAAGTTTGTGGAGTCTTAAAATTCTTAATTCTCCTAAGTTAATATAATTCAATAACCTGACTAATTGCAGTTGCTTGGTTCACCATATGTAGTGGATTCCACAGTTATTACGTAGATCAAATCGCTTTGTCTATTTGTGTCGATAAGATCCTTCAGCGGATAAAGTATAGATTCGAATACCACCTCAAACCTAGCCTTGTTGGGAATTATGCATGAAGTTTCTGTTGTTTCTTCCTCATGTGATTAATGAACAGAAGCTTTGGGTAGCTAATATCTCTTTTATAATGATTATTCACAATCCTATTACTGCTTACTTTTATAACATGTTCCTATGGATTTTCTAATAAACCTTGTATAGGTACAATGTTGCCATAATGCCATAATGATTTCCAGTCTCAGACTCTTTTATTCAATATTGAACTATCTAGATGTATTACTTTAAAACTTTATTATGTGTCATATCAGGTGGACAAATTTAATACACATTAATCGGATTTCTTTCAAAATATCTGCTAAAAAGCAGTGAAAAGAAGTCATGAAAAGGTGCTCAGAGATTTTTTGCAAACATACACTGTTATAAAAGTATAAGCATTGCAGTAATCATCTTCACCAAATTTTTTCACACTTGATTTTAAACTCCAAAAAATATGTCGTTTCATAGTAGCTTGTTATATGTATTGTTAAAAGCTAGTTCGAACAAGAAATCTCTAATCCTCTGATTGACTTCCACAAAAAAAGTCAGTTATAATTCTGAAGACTAATGCATTTTATAGTGATCCCATTCCTGGCGTTAGAACAGCTTTCAGAAATTCAGTTTTCATTAACTAATACTTCAATCTTAAAATGTATATCGTATTAACTAGTAATAATGATTTCATTATGGTATTACTGTGCAGTAGTTAAAATAAGCTCATTTTCTCGCACGAGTTGGCATTCGGTGAGTAAACCATGTAACTAAGCTCTGACCAAAGTTTATCGCTCATGTTTTGCAATATGACCTCATGATCACAAATAAGCATTGCTAATGAGTGCCAACAAGCAAAAAATAGGTCTAGGGTTTCTTGCCGACTGACTGCCACCGTCTAATATCAAAATACAGTTCACCGACGTTCCATGTCATTCCACTTCATGACCTGACCTATATTTTTTGATTAGTGATAGGTATTATGTACTGGACAGCTAAACCGATTTCCCCCTCGTGACCAACTCGTGTACCTAATCAAATCCTACAGAGGGTCAACCGAGGCCAAAAACTAATAAACTGAAGTTCAGAAGTTCCTACCGACTGACTCACTCATCTAACACCAAGAACTTATTTTTTTGTACTAAACTACATCATCGTCGATGCTAAAAAGACGTTTTGGACTGAAACTATATACTGTTGTACTGGAACATAGCTTGAAACAAACGTTAAACTCGACGTCTGATAAAATCAACTTCACAATGTAGACACTGACACCCACAGACTAAATTTTTACACACATATATAAGTCTTGTGGAGATGTATTCAAGCATGAAATACGTTTCCTTGAAAATATGACCTGAGAATATCCAATTTATACAGCTTCGAATACTTCTCATTGCTTCCTTGAAAACTACAAAACGTGATTCTTGAAATTCTGATTACAATCGACCTGTTCACTCTAGACAATACTGGCTACCTAAAATCTTTGAGATACATTTGTGGCATTTGTAAGTTTTTGTCCATAGCAACGTAGTCTAAGTGCTATACAGACTCAAAAACAACAGACTTAAACTGATGCAGCTCGTCCAGTTACACTGGTGAAATTATCAAATGTTGGTTCATTGCTGTTAATAGTCTGAAAATGTTCATATTCATCATTCCGATCGTTCACAAATAGATAATTATTCTTTTCCTGAATTTTTTAATCATTACACCTGTTTTTTCTAATTTGTTTTCGTCTATCACCATTTCAAGGTGAACCATTATTTCCAGGAGAAGATGCATCCGATCAGTTGGCTTGTATCATGGAGATTTTGGGCATGCCACCAATTCAAATGATTAAGAAAGGCAGTCAAAGTCATCATTATTTCAATAATAATGCTCAACCTCTCTATATGATTGAACAACAACATCATATCTATGGAAATCAGCATGTAGATAAATTACAAGAAGCTATAACCAACTTGAATAAGTCACTGAATTCGTCTTCAAGTAAACATAAACGTGCTAATAGCAGTAAGCGTCAAAAAATTAGAAAGTCACCCGGTTCCTTGGATCTCGTCGATGCATTAACAAGTTCTAAGAATTCTTCTGTCTGTTTACCATTAGGTGAAACATCAAGTACTGGACATAAAATTCCACAACCATTAGATCCGGATATGATTGACTTTTTGAAAGGTTGTTTAACATGGAATCCAGATGAAAGAATGAATCCAATTGAAGCACTTGAACATCCATGGATTAAAAAAATGTCATTACAAACTCCATCAGGTCTAGAAAGAACAAACACTTTTCTAGCAAATTACAATGCCTATAACAATTCAGATCCATGTCATACTAGCAACAAAACAAATTACAACAGTTATTCGAATGGGACAAGTAAACAAGTTTCTGACAAAGATTTTGTTGCCAATATTCTAGGTGTGCGTATGCGTAAACACGATGCAAATTCTCTACGCGTCTCTCGCAAATCTGAAGTTCCAAGTATAGTGAGTTCTACCGTTCTTTATTAAACCTTTTTGGCTCACTGTGTGTGTTACGTATATAGACTTCTACTCTCGATGACCTTTTTCAGTTGATTACATACAATCATAATGTCACACCCTAGCTTCTACCCTGCAGGACATCCAGGATATCTCTCGGTACCATACTATTCAAAACTTAAACACTTCACTAAAATGAATATAATCTGTTATCACTTGTAATAAATTTGTTGTTTGATTTCAAAGTAGTATTTATCATCCACCGACATCAGTTGGCGAACGAACTGCGGTGTTAGTAACATACTAAATACAAGCTGAGTCATACAGTATCTTAAATCATTTAGCATAAAATTTTTCAGTTTTTACATCAAAGCCAAGTTTTTTAGATATTAAGATATACTCCTGGGACCTTTGTGGGGTACTACCACGAAGTCATATCCCCAAGAATATCCTAAAACAAAGACGCAGATTTTGAATTTATAGAAATCACTTGTTGAGGATAAGAACGGTTTGATCTTCTCTAAGCTTTGATATTTCATTCTGAACTTTGCGTCATCATGTTTGATGACATCTCCAGCACTTCCTCTTAAAGTCTACTAATTTGTTTACCGATTACTAACTTACCTGATGAAATTATCTGTCAAGAAAGCTAGTCCGTATTCATTATAAAATTTATATGAAATCGATCCAGTATAAGCACCTTACTAGTTGGTAATAAATATCATCTATTGTACAACTGCCATCCGACATATGTCGAATTCACTTCAATATTAGTAACTCAATTGCTCGTAATTATGTCGTAATTGTTTCTGTGTCTTCTTAGATGTCTGATGATCCAATGAAACTGAATCAATCTCGCCGTCGATATTCCTATGACCACAGTAACAACAGACTCTCTGATCTATTTGAAAGGGCAATGAGGTGTACTTCGAATCCAAAATCTCCAGATCGACACAGATATCACAAGTCAGAAATTTATTACAATACAAGACAATATCGAAGTTTCTTGAATAACAATGATTACAATAACAACAATCAGGATGACAATAATGATAATAATGATAACAGTAGTAGTTTGAACGATGAGAATTACGAACAAAGTGTCTCTCCTAGTGGTGATATTGTTAAGCTTCGTCGTCGCCGTAATCGTCGTCATACTCATCGTCAAAACAATGTTAACCAATGTGATAACTATGAACAACAAGAGAATGCTCATCCTGATTCAAACCACAGTTTAGTCAATGATGAAAATATCATCAGTATTTGTGAAACACCCCTTGAAACAATGATAGACAATCATATATCAGTTACAGAGGACAATGAAGTCAGTATCAGCGATGTAGAAAATAATTGCAGAAATTCAGGTTACTATGAAAACGCTAATGGTCATAATGGTAATCCTACAATAATACTGTTCAATGAAGACAAAGTTGTCCGAGTTCCACACGTAACAGCAGGAGAACACGATATCTAAACTGAATATATATATATATATATATATATGATCAGTTTCAGCACATTCAGTGTTTATTTTCTTGCTATGTAACTATTTTTCAAAATCAAACAAAACCTGTAAACGATAAACAGAGGGAACTTTCGTAAAAATAAACACACGCTCACACTTATACTTACATATTTTCTATGTTCTCAAAAATAATTGTGGCTTAAATTGACTGATTACAACCTATTTTTTATTTTATTTGCCTAAATCCTTTCGATCTGACAATTATTTTATCCATAAGTCTTGAAGTTTTATCATTATAAGGATTAATTTCACATGATGTCAACCTCAGCTCTACTTTAAGAATACATACACGCAACAGCATATCCCATTTACAAAGTGGAGTTAAAAGGTAAATCCATAAGATCCTCTCTCTCTCTCTCCCTCTCTTTTCATATTATCCTCCTTCCCATGTCTCCTTCATGTACACCAACCACTGGCTTATTCACCTTGCGTCAAGTCTTTCCTAATCATGTACAATTCAGTTTAGGTTTGAAATAAATTAGATAATATAAATCTTATTTTCAACTTCTACTTTTTGATATCACCAGATGTGTCACACTTAACTGGCTGAGTACAAGTTCTTCGAAATGGGTACACAGAGCTTTTAGAATGATGGATATTGGGTTTGATTCACTTTTGGAATAATAATAATAATAATGTGTGTTGATAATACAATATTACATAACTGAAGAATTTTATGAATAATTAAGCATGTGCAACATTCTTACCATCTATAATGATTGAGGGCAAATTATCCCCTTGACAGGCTTTCAATGCTTTGTAGACAAATACTACTAATCATGTTTTCTGTCACTAAGGTAACTAAATAAGTTCACTCATAGAATCAAATTTCTTTTGTTTCAGGTCATTAACGTGCGTTAACTATACCAGTTGGAGAATTAAAAAATCAGTGAGAATGATGAACATTTCATCTTGGTACTGTCTAAAAATATTTACTAGTGATTCTTCATAGAATCAAATGCGTTAACTATGAACTAGTCTCATTTCACATAACTTGCATAAAAATCCTTCGAACAGTCTCAAATGTGATTAAAATTTGCGATTTTAAACTGGCGATTAAATTTCCAATGGCAAATGGAAGGTTATAATGGTCAAATATATCCTTTAAGGTGACTGGATCTTTTTCAAGAAGCACAGTTTAGATACATTATAAGCAGCATAAAGTTACACCTGTCAGTCACTTAATTAATAAACAATGGTTAAGTGAACCAACTTTACTAATTGAAATAAAAAGGTTTACACTAACACACACACACACACACAGAGAACTTTCAGCGTTACTTATCAAAAGAGCGCCTACAAATTCAACGTTTAATTTCTTCCTGATCTATACAACTTATTCTTGTGTTATTGACACGTGTGTTCATGAATAGGTGTTAAACTTAAGTTGAGAAATCTTTATGCATGAGTGTAATGATTTGGTACGCAAAAATCTGGACAATCCTTATACATAAACTCAGGTTGACACTAGCTAGTCTCACTCATAATTTCAAAAACTCTGTGTTATTAGAGTTGTACATCTAAAGTGAACTTGAAATCAACACTTCTCATATCAAAGTATTGGATCAGTTTAAGTTATCACATTTCACAGTAACATGTGACGAAAAAGTAAATTGAAATAGACTGATATCCCAGTAGACTAAAGTGAATAGAAGGGAAAAGAATTTTTAAAATCAATGTTAGAGGAAATGTTTGAGCTTTAGAAGAAGTTAAAGAGTGAATATATTAGCTCTTTTGTGAATGATCTTCCACAATGTCACTAAGTATTTCACAAAGATATCCTGGAGTGGTGTGACATCTTGTTCTGACCATTATAAGCCTTCTTTCAATTTAATTCAACTTCGGCTAATACTCCATGTCAAGGTAGACGGTGCTTTAGCATGCACAAAAGATGTCTAAGCCACCTCAGTCATTAAAAGTTCACAGTCTCATTGACTAACATGCCCTCCTTGCCTAATACACTTCGCCTAACATTAACGGTGATTACGCAGTGACTTTACCATACATGAACAGCTCTGAGAAGACACTTGTGTTCAAAACATTGTAATCTCTCAATATATTATACTTTCAAAGGCCACTTCTCACAGCTATATAACAGCCATATAAATTTATAGTATACTCCTGCTTCAAAAGGTAGTAAAATAGATCGCCGGCGAATGCCAAACGAATCCCGTGTACTTGTTAAGATTATGTCAGCAACCGATTCGTTCATGCAGATGCAATTTCCCAGGTTAGTGAAGTGATCAGTGGGTTCCCCCGCTTCACTCCCCATCTTTAAACTGGAACTGGCTTCAAACTAGTCCTGAAGCATCAAACTACGCATGATGGGTGCATAATGCACACTAGGCATACTCGAATTTTCGTTGAAGCAATTCAGAAGACTTAGTTTCGTCAGCGTCTTTCACTAACTGAACAGTGTCATCTGTGTACTCCAATCCGACTAGATACCCTTTAGGGAGTTGATCAATCTAGATGGAGTCAGATGTACCAAATGTTATGTCCATTAGCACATCCACAACGATTTTAAACAGTAACTGAGACAGTAAGGATCCCTAGTGAACACTATAGGTTGTCTTCAATTCAAATAAAAACTCTCCATAAGCTCTAATATACCTACATGAGTTTGAGTAGAGAGCTTTGATAGGTATAAGACACTTGCTTATTACTCCCTCCGCAGTCAGAAACCATTACAATACCTCACAGTCGACACAGTCGAATGCCTCATTCAAGTCAAGAGATATGAGGAATGTCGGCCACCAGTAAGCATGGTTGTGTCCCAAAGCACGTCGGACATTGACAATCCGATCGATGCACCTTCATTCAGATCTGTAACATGCTTTGTTTTTTTCAGGTTTGGCTGTTCTCGAGCTCCAGTTAGGCGTCAGATAACAGATAACCCAAGGATCTTGGATACAATTTTAGTCAAAACGATTCCCTCACCCTTCTCACAAGAAGATTTCTTCCCTTTCTTATAAACTCTGATCAATATTGAAACCGGTGGCAGTTAAATAAAACAATTAGAAATAGTGTATGTGTAGGATGACTAATCGAATTATTGCACTCAACATTCCTGATAAATTTATTCATCGCAATCATGAGTTTCAAATGAGTCATTTATTGTAACGGTTATGCCAGATTTAAGTAATATGTGAAGTGGCAATATTACAATGAAACATGGAAATCAGTGTTCTATAGCATTTTATTGTTAAAATAAAGCTATATATCTCTCATCTCTATAAGCTTCATACTTTCACAATTCAGCTAGATGCTTAAGTGCAATTCTCATAGTTTGAATTACCATGCGCATGTGTATACTTTGAATTTAAATTTTTTATATAAAGTTGAATACTCAACGAAGGGAAATATTTATTTATGAAATTTTTTATTTGATTTGTAACACACAGTGATACAGTATTATTCACTGGATAACATTTCGAGCACAAACTATTTCTCATAATCATATCAGTGTATGATATGATTGTGAGCAGTAATCCCACAAGATATTCTGCAAGGCATAAGCGCTAAAGGAGAACCAATAGTTGTATCATCTATGAAATGTGATGTACAGAATTAGGGGGGGAAATCGCTGTTTATATACTATTTATATACAGTGCTGAGGTCATGTCAGTAGTAGAACGAATCAACAGTGATGGAACTATCGGATAAATATTTGATAGAAATATTCTCCTTCAACTTATCACAACGAAAGTGTTTCTGCTGCTAATCTATAAGCAGTGTTTATGTTGATATAAGCAACGGCGATTGTCAAGCAGCGGAAGTGAGGAGTTTTTTCTAGTCTTACATCAGAATCATCAGCTAGATGTGCCTGCATCCTAGTCAGTAAAAATGTTCCCACTGAGATTCAAACCAGGCACTGGTAATATCAAATACCAGAGCGTTATCAACTAGATCTCTAGGTTGTGATATCCAGTTCTTGCACAACAGGTATAGTTTAGTATACGAACTCTGTGTTCGTCCTGTTATGCAAACACAAAAACAACGCAGTGGATCCTTCTGTTCTCATAGCCAGATGTCAGGAAGGCGAATAGGCAAACTGGGTCAACTTTGTAATGTCTCCAACTATTTTTTTGCACTTTATAACATTGCCTGTAGTTTCCATCGCTTATTAAACTAAACAGATCGGTCTCTATTGGCGTTTGAGCCCTCACGTGGAAGCCTCCGTGTTACCAGCTAACGAATCCCTAATTGGACGAAACGTGTGCCCTGGGTTCTACCGATTATCACTGGTCATCGTTTCTATTTTTTGCACTGTTCAGAAACACTATTTTCAGACAGCATAAATGAAACACCGAGATGAATAAAAATCATTTTAAAGGTTTATTATTGCATTAGATTTCATTAGGTATTTTAAAAGCAGCAATAAGATACTGGTCATTGTTTCCAATAACTTCATCATTTCGTCTATCATCGAGTAGCTAAGATTTTTTTAAAGTAAAATAATTTTTTTGTTCAAGCAATGAAATCGATCAGGTGTACGAATTAAACTAGCCTGATTTCCAAAAAGTTTAGCAGTATTTTGCCGACGCAAAAACCTAGGAATGAATCGTTAGTTTTACTAGCATCTCACTTTCTTGCAGTTAAAATCTATGCCTAACCACTTTCTAAGTCATATAGAATAGTATTGTAGGTTCCATAGACTACTTTCTTGCATAAATACACGTGACCAGAACTGTCAACTTCCATATTGGAAATGATAAGCTCAAACCGGCTTCAATGAGGAAGTTGCGATCTTTAAAATCTAAAGATAATGTGATATCAGCAACATATATCTCCATTACTGTGTGCTTATTCATATTGTTTCGCTTACATTATACCATCAAGATGGAGGTTATTTTGACTCAGAAGAAAACAAACAGATATTGTATTTTCGAAATTTATAGGAGAGTAATGAAAATAAAGAAAACTAAGTGGTATTTCAGTCTTTTTGG